TGGTCTCCGTGATCGTGTCCATGAGAACCAGTACAGAGCCGGTCCCTCCATGGCTACCATGGCAGTCGCTACCTTCAACTCGGGTCGGGTGTGGTGGATTTCAAACTGTTGATTAGCCCGGGCGAGCCACCCAATCGGATCTGCCCCCTCAAAAGCTGGTAGCGCTAGTGGTGCGATCACAGCCCCCGGGTTTTGGGGTGTTTGTGTTTCGCCCCCTGAGCCAGCCGTGCTTCCCACTCCTGAATTGGGATTAATCGGCAGTTCGTCTGTGGCCATAACCTTCTGCGTCAGTTTGTCCAATATGGCGGTGATAGCATCTAACTTGACGTTTGTGGAGTGCACTTCTGCCCTAATGTCTCGCTGGTCTGCCTCCATCGCATCGATGCGTTGCTCAATGGTAGAACGAGTCATGGTGAGTAGTAGGACGGTGGATGGGATCCGGCAGGCCGGACCAAATTGATAGAAGCAGAAAAAGAAACCCTAGCAGACGGTGTGAACGACTGCCCAGCCTTAGGCTCAAACCAAATCTTTATTCTCGATAATGAATAATAGTTCACAAGACCTCCTTAAATACTCCTTAACCTAATAATAAAATATGGCCTTGTAGGCCCAACAACTTAATAATAAAATATGGCCCAGCAGTTTAATAGAAATAACAATTGAATAAAATAAACTAATAAAACCCAGCAGTTAATCCAGCCCATCTAGGCCCGCTGGCGACGACGGTAAACCAATAATGGGCGAGGCCCGTCCCCCTGAAGTAGCGGACCAGTTGCCCCCTCCTGGGCTGTCGGCCCAACTACCTCCTGCTCTCTAACACCGAGGGAGAGGTCGAGGCAACAAGAACTGGGGCTCGAGGGATTCTAATATTCAAGAACAAGAGAAAGATGATCAGAATGGTGATAAGCCTTCCAAGAGGGGAGGATCTGGTAACTGGCGAGGTGCAAAGAAGAAGATAGACAGGAAGAAGATTAAATGCTTCAACTGTAACAAGATATGACACTTTTCTAATGAGTGTAAGGCACCTCCAGGACAGAATGAGCATCACAGAAACACAAATGCAGAAGTAAATATGGTTCAAGAAGATAGTGAGGTAAATTCAGATGATAAACCTCTTCTTTTGATGATGTTGACCAATTATGACTCTAATAGCTGCGATAAATGGTACATAGACTCTGGATGTTCCAATCATATGACTGGCAATCGAAATTGGTTGATAAACTTTGATGAAACAAAGAAAAGCAAAATTAGATTTGCAGATAATAGGTCAATTTTGGCAGAAGGGACTGGTGATGTATTGATTCATGATAAGAATGGAAAGCAGGTTTTGATTTCTGATGTTCTGTATGTTCCAACTATGAGTAGTAATCTGATTAGTCTTGGCCAACTATTGGAAAAGGGTTTTACTATGAATTTACATGAAGGTTTTCTGAAAATCCTTTATCAAAAGGGGAAGATGGTGTTGAAAGCTCCTATGGCACAGAACAGAACATTTCAAGTAAGCTTAAGGAACATTGAGTCACAGTGTTTTACAGCCTCCATTTTGACTAATGATTCCTGGCTATGGCACTTGAGAATGGGACACTTGAACTTCAGAGATCTGAGTATGCTGAGAACAAAGGAGATGGTTTCAGGTTTGCCTCCAATTCAGATCCCAGACAAGATTTGTGATAGCTGCTTGTTTGGAAAGCAAACAAGAAATCCATTCTCTACTTATACACCTCCTAGGGCTAAAGAACTACTTGATGTAGTTTATTCAGATGTGTGTGGCCCCTTTAATGTTCCTTCTTTGGGGGGAAACAAATACTTTGTGACCTTTGTTGATGAATTGAGCAGGAAGATATGGTTATATATGCTGAAACTTAAGAGTGATGTCTTTGGTATTTTTAAGGTTTTTAAAAATTTGGTTGAGAAACAGTCTGAAAAAAGTCTTAAGATACTAAGGACTGATGGTGGAGGTGAATACACATCTGGTGAATTTGCACAATTTTGCTTAAGTGAGGGTATAATTCATGAGGTTACTGCACCTTATACTCCTCAGCACAATGGAATTGCTGAGAGAAGGAACAGGACAATTGTGAATATGGTTAGAAGCATGTTGAAAACTAAAGATCTGCCACACAGTTTTTGGGGAGAGGCTGCAACTACAGTTGTATATGTGTAATGTGTTGAACAGATGCCCTACTAAGAGTCTTAATTCACAAGTGCCTGAAGAGATTTGGTCAGGAACAAAGCCTTTTGTAAAGCATTTCAAGGTGTTTGGTTCAGTATGTTTTAGACATATTCCTGATCAAAGGAGAAAGAAACTTGATGATAAGAGTGAAGTATTGATATTTGTTGGATATACTTCAACTGGTTCCTACAAATTGTACAACCCTGACACTAAGGAAGTAGTGTTCAGTCGAGATGTATAGTTTGATGAGTCCAAATCCTGGAAAGACTATGAAGGGAATGCTTTATCTAAGACCAGACTTCTACTTGATTGGGAGGATGAAGATAGAGTTCTTAACGAGACTCAAGAAAATGAGGTAATCATTCCACCTGCAGTAAATAGAAGACCATCAAGACACAGGAATCTGCCTCCTTATCTTAGAGATTATGAGCTGTTTTCTGATGAGCATATATCAGAAGAAGGGGAACTAGTACAGCATATGGCTTTGCTAGCAGATTCTGAACCTATTCTGTTTGAAGAAGCTTTCTCAAAGGAAGTATGGAGAGAAGCAATGGTTGATGAAATCAAGTCCATAGAGAAGAATAAAACATGGGAATTGGTTGAGTTACCTGTTAACAAGAAACCAATATCAGTCAGATGGGTGTTCAAAACTAAACTGAAACCAGATGGAACTGTAGCTAAGCATAAAGCTAGACTAGTTGCAAAGGGCTTTATGCAGAAGGAAGGTTTAGACTATTCAGAAGTATTTGCACCCGTGGCTAGGTTTGAAACAGTTAAGCTCTTAGTGAGTTTAGCCACAAGAAGAAGATGGAACCTTTGGCAGCTTGATGTCAAGTCAGCTTTTCTTAATGGAACATTAGAGGAAGAGGTATACATTACTCAACCTCCTGGGTTTATTAAGAAGGGTTGTGAAGATAAGGTGCTCAAACTTAAGAAAGCTCTATATGGTTTAAAACAAGCCCCGAGAGCTTGGAACAAGAGGATTAATTGTTTCTTAAGTTTGTGTGGTTTTGAAAAATGTTCAGTGGAACATGGCATATATGTAAAGTCATTAAGTCCAAATGATATTCTTTATATTTGCCTCTATGTTGATGATCTTTTGATAACTGGGAGTTCTGAAGAAGGGATTAATAAGATAAAACAAGATTTGAAAGCTGAGTTTGAGATGTCAGATTTGGGAATTCGATCCTATTTTCTTGGTTTGGAATTTGTTCACTCAAATCAAGGATTATTGATGCATCAGAAGAAGTATGTTTCTGAAGTTCTAAGAAAGTTTGAGATGTCTGACTGCAATTCTACCGAGATTCCTGCTGAGACAGGTTTTAAACTGGATGAGTGTGAGGGAGAAGCTTCTGTTGATGCTACTTTGTATAGACAACTTGTTGGGAGTCTGAGGTTTATTTGTCACACTAGACCTGAGATTTCTTTCAGTGTTGGTGTTGTTAGCAGGTTCATGAACTCTCCAAGACAGTCACACTTAATTGCAGCCAAGAAAATTTTGAGATATTTAAAGGGGACATTGAGTTTTGGAGTATTCTTTCCATTCCAAAGTGAGAAGAATAAGTTACATCTTATAGCTCATTCTGACTCAGATTGGTGTGGAGATTCAGTAGATAGAAGAAGCACTATGGGCTACATTTTCATGTTTACAGGTGCTCCAATTTGTTGGTGTTCCACTAAGCAACAGGTTGTGGCCTTGTCAACCTGTGAAGCAGAATACATTTCTGCTTGTTCAGCTGCCTGTCAAGCAATGTGGCTGTCATTTTTGCTTGAAGAGTTGAAAGTTAAAGTTGAAGGTATTGCTGAATTGTTTGTGGACAATAAATCAGCAATTAATCCAGTATCTCATGGACGAAGCAAACATATTGAGACAAGATTTCACTTCCTTAGGGATCAAGTGTCGAAGGGAAAGATCAAACTTGTCCATTGCAGAACTGAGGTTCAACTAGCAGATATTATGACTAAAGCTCTCAAATTTGGACGATTTAAAGAACTGAGGAGCAGGATTGGTGTATCAAGTATCTGATTGAGAGCATTTTTACTTGTTGTTGACATTTTAATAGTCATGTTTGTAAAATTTTGGATTATGGGGGAGTGTTGAGATATAATCCAAAATTAAATAAAGTCTGTTAGTTTTGTTACTTTCAGTTAATTGAACTTCAGGTTTCTATATATAGTAGCCTGACTTGTAATAAGCTGTGCGGTTGGTTGTTAATAAGATCAGATCATCTTTCTCCCCAAATTACTCTCTCTTCTAACCGTTCTTCTTACTTGCTCCAACAGGTTCATCACTGGCCAATTGGCCATATATTAAATTTTTTCTTATTCTGATTAAAAGATAATAGCCATACTACTTATAACTTTCATAAAGTACTCTTCATTAGGAAAACAGGAGTATAATTTGGAATAGACAAGAAAATAAAATAAAACTAGCCTACATAAGTGGGACATAGGGAGACTATCTATTCATTTAGTTTTCATTACAAAGACTTTTCACTTTTTCAGTAATGATCAACAACACAACAACAACATCCAAGCCTAATCCCAAAAGATTTTGGGGTCGGCTAACATGAATCGATCCATGATATCAATGCCAAAAAGAGAAGACAGACAAGAAAAAGAACTAAGATAAAGATAAATGAATATAAAATAACAATAACATAAGAACATAAGAAAGATCAAAGATAAAAAGATAAAAGAGCATAAATAGAACAAAGCTAGAAGATAAAAATAACATAAGAACATAAAAAGATAAAGAAGATAAACGGTAAAAGAAAAAGAGAGTGGAAAGATCCAAATACTTAAATTCATCATCAAGATAAATTACCCCATATTTTTTGCAGATATCAGTAGCTTTATCCAAAAGAGCCATGGCAACATTCTTTTGATTTTCTTGGATGGATCTTACCAGTTCAGGAGCTGCAACAGGAGCTGGAACAGGAGCTGCAACAGTAATGAAAATAGTGTAAGATCTTAAATCTCTAAGGGTCTCTTTGGAATGTGGGAATTGATAGGTAAACAATAAGTAGGAGAAATTTAGGAGGAAAATGTTGAGAAAAATAAACATCGTTTTATACTCAATAGGTTTCTTTTTAATATCTGTTAGAATTCATTTTTTTTGTTTATTTCTATCATATATACTCAGCAATAATCTAACCATATGTGAAAAAATTGAAAATGTCAATGGTATTTCACTTTCCTTCGAATTCTCCGAGGTGAATCTAAGCATAAGAAAATAACTTTCCTGAGGAGTTTCTTTCCTTTCCATGATCCAAACATAGCCTAAGGGTATGCTTATATCTCAAAAAATGATAATAGATGGGGAATGATGAAAGTTATTTTCTTAAGAATGTCTTTACCTTGAAAATGTAAAGAAAAAGGAAAAATGATTTATTTGTATTTTATTTACTACACTTCTGATTCCAAGTCAATATATTATATAAATAAATAATACTCCCTCCGGTTCTTAATTAAGTTCATGGTTTGACTTCACACATATTAAGAAATAAATTTGACTTTATGTTTAAACACTGTTTGACACCGTTTGAACACTGTTTGGCGTTGTTTTGGTGTAAATCATTTGCCAAATAAGGAAAGGTTTGAAGTAGGAACTTTAATATGGACAATCCCAAAAGGAAAGTAGGAACTTAATTACGGGACGGAGGGAGTACTACGGTACGAAGTAACTGATTCTCTTTACTTCTAATTCTATTCTCTTCTTACTTCCTAATTTCCTTATCTGCTATTTTCAATGTTCTGAACAATTCTTAAAACAATCAAAACCACAATCTCAAGTTCTTCAACATTTCCATATAACAATTCATTTCCAACTGGATGTAAAGCAAAAGTTAATCTGATGCTCATTAGTTGAAGCAAACACTGTCAAATTAAATTTTCTACCTGCCACCTTGATTTAATGACTAGAGACTATTCAGTTGCAACTATTGGATGATGTTGCTAAGTTAGGCAATTAGGGGGTATTGGACCATGTGGCTAGTTAGAGCCATTATGGGTGGTTATAACTCCTACTTTTTCTGTATAAATATTTTGCTTACTGCACAAAACATGAACATGACCACCACATATTTCTTACACTTTTACCCCTCATAACGAAGATTAGTACGGAGTAGTACACATTCCAATGTATAATACTCCATCCGTCCTATTGGACTTTGCCAATTTTCCCTTTTTGGTTGTTCCAAAAAACTTTGTCACTTTCCTATTGAAGTAATTAATTTGTGTTTCTGCACATTTGTCTCTCCTCTGCACAAACCTCAACCACACAACTTTTACTTTTCTTATTTCTCACCTACTTTAAACTTGTCAAGTACATCGGGACAAAAGGTAATATTACGTATAACAAAGCCTGAAAACAACCATCTAAACTAGTCACACTTCATAAGCCAACCATGTATAAACATACAAATCAATAAATCATAAGGCGTTTAGTAGATATCAGATTCCATCAACCTCACACTAGCCATCCATCCCACTAAAACTATATATGAACACACAAATATCAAGATTTCTCTATTAACTGCCTTAACGAGCAACTACCTTGAGATACAAAGATTCAAGCCAACATATTTAAGGTATTTAATTTAAACTCCTAATATCAAGATTGCTCTATTAACTGCTCCAACGACCAACATTTTTAAGGTATTACTTAAACATTTTAGAATAAATTTGAATTCCTAATAAAGCTAACTTCATACTTCATGTGGTTTGTGTAGTGAATATGAGAATATCATTAATAAAAATAAGCAATGATGTAGTTTTCCTTGCCATACTAAGGACAAGAGATTCAACTAGAAGAAAGCATGCATACAGCATATAGGAGCATTTTAGCTTTTTTCAGCAGGTTTCTTTATTTTATTAATTAATAAAATATGTTAATTAATTCAGCAGGTTTCTCCAGATTCAGCAGGTTTCAATGCTATCACATATTATAGCAATTCATCCCAGAAAAGACAGAAAGTGTATGATAAAAAGAGTAGTGAAAGAAAGGAAAGAGAGGTTACAAGTGAAGCCAAGGGAAGAAGCATAGATATAGCCATAGTCAACGATTGGCTGAACGGTGAAGAGCACAATTTGAGAGTTCAGTAAGGAAGCGTGGAAGTGTTGAAGAGTCCATTCAATTGCATAACAGCTGAATTCACTCTCATCAATTGCGATCATCACCCTCTCCTTCTTATCTCCAGCTCCCTCCATTTCCGGATTCTTCAACTTCTCAAATGAGCCTTACCGATACCCAGCATCATCTGTGTGTGTGAACAACTGAATATGTATGTCTGTGCACACGTGTCAGTTTTCCTTATTAAGATGCACACGTGTTAATGAACTGTATGTTTCTGGATAAACTCAAATTTGCGGCTGCATGAGGTGTTTACCAGTTACAACTCGGATAACCCATCTTATCTTACATTCTTACCTGGACGGTGATCCGGGTCAGGTTGGATTTTCAACCTAACTCCATTGGGAAACATATTTTTTGTGAATTTCATGGATTGTATTTTCAAATTATCCGCAAATTTTGTATGTATGGATTGGGAAACATATGTTTGAACACTTTTGTAGTACTCCCTCCATTCCAATTTGATTTGCAAAATTTTCTATTTTGGTTTTCTCAAAATAATTTTCTACTTTCTATTTTACGTATGTAAATAAAAATAAAGTGATAAATCTACCCTCACTTTTACTTTTTCTCCATTAACATTGACTTAAAGACATACTTTTAGAAAGATGGACAAAAGTGTAAAAAGCAAACATCATTTATTGTCATTCTTTAATCCTCGTGTCAGTCAAAGTTTGCAATTCAATTCTGGACGGAGAGAGTATTAAATCACATTTTATGTAACTTTTTTGTTAGTAATATTTTAGGACAAATTTTAGTATATTTTAATACGCAGTATAAAATTTTCATAATTTAGTCAATTAATTAGAATTGCAACAAATCCAATCGACTTTAAACAGGATTACTGAAACTTCAAAATAGTACTTCATACAATTTTTTCCTAAAAAGGAATATTTGCTTTCACACTTTGAAAATAATGTCAATTGTGATACTAATAAGGTTATGTTAAGGTCTGAGGAGTGAGGATACTAATATGCTCCAAAATAATAATTTCACATCTAAATCCCCTTTTATAGGGATCCAGGACCAGTTCAGACTAGGTCAAACTTAAACAGATCAGACCTAGTCATGGACCTGGGCCGGGCCCGAACGTGTTTTTTTTTTGGGAAGGAAGGCTCGGGACCGGCCCGGATAGCCACCGGGTCGGGTCCGGGCCGGACCGGGCCTCCGGTTTGGTCATATTTTCTTTTTCTTTTTTTGCTTTCCTAACCCCACCCCCCCTGACGTGCACTTTGTCGTGTGTGCACTCAAAATAATTTTCAATACTAACACTTACACACTTAAAAGAGATATGTTCTCTCATTCTCTCATTTTGCCTAGGTGCCCTTTCGGGTTTTCATCCTAGCTTCCTACATTTTCTGTTTCAATCCTCACAACTCACTCTTATTTTTGCTTTATTTTTGCTTAAGTTGCCTTTTCAGGTTTTCAACTTAACAAGCTTTGTTTTTTTTTTTTAGATTTTTTTAAATAACTCAAGAATATAGAGTATGTATGAGAGTTTTTCACGAAATTCTCCCCCCAAGCTAATCAAAGCACTGTCTCTAGTGCTTGTGTCCGAGATGTCCAAGAGAATGAATCTTTTTGCCCTTTTTGGTGTCATTTCCTTTTTTTGGGGTGAGGAAGTTTCGGCTTTTGTTTTTTTTTTGGAGTGAGGGGGTTTGGATATTTGGTTATTTGGGGCGGTTTTTTTTGTGGGTGTGGGAGTGAAGATGGTGATGAGGAGATGAAGAAAATGGGGTTTTTGATGGATTTGGTGTAGAAATGGTGGGGTTTAGAAACTTTGGAGCTCAACAATAGAGATTTGGGGGATTTTTGGTCGTGGGGGAGAAGAAGAAATGGGGGAAGAAAGCTGCCCGCCCGTCTGGTCGGGTATAGTGACTGACCCGGTCGGGTGTAAGCTGTTCACCCGAGGCAGAAAGTTTTTTGCCAGATCACTCGACCGGGTATTTTGGTCTACCCGGTCGGGTAATAGTTAATCCCAGTTTTTTTTATTTATTTTTTTATTTTTTTTGCGCACACACTCTACTTAATAAAATGATAACAAAAAACATACCTTGCTTGGGTTGCCTCCCAAGAAGCGCCTTATTTAACGTCGCGGCACGACGCCATCATTGTTTTCAATCGTTCAAGCTTGGATCGTGATAATTCATCTTCTTCAAATTTTCACCCGGGTGACTCTTATCGAAATACAATATTTTTCGACCCTCTATTTGGACAATCTTTCCAGGATCGAATATCCGGATTTGTATCGCTTCATATTGTGAGAGTGAGGGTCCATGATTTTCACTAAGCATGGTCAATGGAAGGGGTTTTGATCCGGGTGGTATAAGAGGGAGTATGAAATATTTGTGTAACTCCACCGTTATTCCTTGCTTATTTGTGAACAAAGAGAAGTCTAAATTATACTCACAATTGCTGAAGATTTCATAGATATCTTTGTCCTTCTCCACCCTTTGTGTTTCATTTAGAGCCTCAGGAAATGGTGGCATGATCTCAGGAATGGCCGATGGTTGAGTTGAGTTTTGAGGTTCCTCCTCCGGTTGAGCTTTCTCCGTATGCTCCTCTTCTTCCTCCTCCTCGCTCATGTGGTTCACAATGCTTGGCATTTGTTTCAACTGATTGTCCAAGTTCTGTTCGTTGGACACTGTTTCTTGCGGGCATTGTGACATATTTTGTTGCATATTTTTCACATTAATAGTGAGAGCTCGGATCATGTCTTCAGTGGACATGCTGGAATAAGAACTTGGGTATGGAGCATATGTGTTGGAGAATGAATCATACCTCTCTTGGAAACCAACAGCATTCTTTTGTTCAAAGTATTCTTTTTGAAGTTCTGGGCAAAAATCCGTAAGATGTCTTTGTGACATGCAAATGTTGCATGTATGGACATCTTGAGATTTTGAACATGAAATAAACTCCTTTATTAGAAAAGTCAAGTCGGAAATTTGACTCTCTAGGGATGATATGTTGGTGATGGAGTATATGGCCCAGGAACCCCCGGCCCATAGACTCCTACTTCTCCTACACAAGTTCATTTGGCCCAGGGAACAACTCAGGCCCAAAATACAGCGGCCCAAGCCTCAACGTAGCCCAGAATACGCACTGGGGTGCCTTCGGCCTCCTTGGCCGAAGGCTCTAAATCTCACAGGGTAGCCTTCTCTGGCATAAGAGGCTACTGGGAGAAAACGGCGAAAAATGTGAGCCTTCGGCATTAGCGAGCCCTCGGCATCAGAGAAGCCCCCGGCTAAACCATGCCTCCGGTCACATAGGGCCCTCGGCTACACAGGGATCCTTGGCTACATGGAGCCCTCGGCAACACAAGGAGCCCTCGGCCAAACACGCCCAATCATCGAAGATTCCTTTTGGAGACAGCCAACCACCGCATTTAAAGCCACGTCACATCCACCAACCGCATTCAATGCGGTGAACGTACCACTGCCGGTGCAAACCGGTTGATGTGACCCTTCGGCCGTTGGATTACTGACACGTGTCCTCTCATCGCATTTATTGCTGCTATAAATAGCAGCCCATTTCTCCTTGTAATGGACATGATCTACATCTCAACTCCACATCTCGAGTTCATTTAATAAAATCGACTCTCTCTCCTCCTATTTGCTCTGACTTCTCTCTAAGCTATTCCCGTAATAACCCCTCGGATAAGATACCCCCCGGGTAGACTGTCCATCAGTTGGTATCCATATACTCATGAAAGCTCAGAAAATGGACAAGTAAGATTTTTATTTATATTTTTTTGTTTTTATTTTTTATTTTGTTTTTTATTTTTATGAGATAAAATAAAAAGAAAAGTAATTGCCTTTCCCCGGCAACAGCGCCAAATTTGACATGCACTTTGTCGTGTGTGCACTCAAAATAATTTTCAATACTAACACTTACACGTAGTATAGGTGAAGTAGAGTTCGTATCCACAGGGAAAGGAATAATTCTCTTTTTATGGAACTAGTAAATAAAGGGGGGGTTTTGATTGAGTGTTTTAATTAAATTAAACACGAAGATGAACGAGTTATATGTGATTTAATTCGAATATAAAAAGGACTTGGCATTGCTACTTTCCACTTGTTGATATATTTCAGTCGATCATTGTTATATCTATAACTTATCTCCTCTCGAATACTCAATCGAGGAGTATATCCAATTCATCGAGGAAAGTTATTAACAACGACCGTTCATTAATAACCCTTACTATTAGTCAAGTATAGAACAACGCCATATACCGACTTGATAGTAGCATTTAATCTCTTAACTCCTTGATGAAATCAATTGAGATTGATAACCTCAACACAACGGTTTCGGTTTAACCAACAAAATTAATCCCTCTTAAGTTTACTAACCACGACCGTGCATTAATAAACCGAAGTTACTTACTTGTGAAACCATCAACGATTAACCATCGGTTCGTTGATCGTTTCTAGTAATAATTAATATGTGAAACAAAACTATTTGATCCTTTAAGTAATGTTCAAAATATTAATATGAAATATGAATAGGGATTAATTAATACTCAAGAAAGAATATTAAGGAAAATGAATCCTACTATAGTTAATATCAAGATGTTAACTAATTGTCATCTTAGTAACACTTCCCAATATTAACATAGGGGAAGGAATAGTTATTACTAAGACCAATGTCAAGATGTTAACTAATTGCCATCTTAGTAATACTCCCCAACATTGATATAGAAATAGTATTTAAGAGAAGCATTAATATTCAAGGAAAAAAGTTAAGAAAATAACTCACAACTTTAATAATCAACAAGCTTCAAGAGCAACACCAAGAAATGGAAGTTTAGCTCCTCATTTGGAGACTAAACATGCTATAAAAATATAAAAGAAATACTATTCTAAACTGAGCTTCAGAGTATGGAAGAAGGGATGATTAAAAGTGAAGGAAAATGGGGTTATTTATAGGTGTTTTCAACACCTAATGCCGGATACCCGGCCGGGTATTTTGACATACCCGACCAGGTATTTACCAAATCAAATATTTTCCCATGTTTTTGTGTCTTCTGCACATTCTTTGGTCCGAAATCACTTCATACCCGACCGGGTATATGGAATACCCGACCGGGTATTTGCTAGTTTTGCAGCAGTTTCCTTTGTCACTTCATACCCGGCCGGGTAAAGTCCATACCCGACCGGGTTTTGCATAAAACTCAGGTTTTTCCATCCTTCTTGCTTCCAAACCTATCCTAAACTTATAGCTCAACTAACTATAACTTACAACAAACAATAAAATACTAAAAATGCGATTACAATCAAATGCAAACTAACAACTACAAACTTGCATAATACTAGTAAATAAATATTACAAATGATAATAAAAATGTACACTTAGGCACTAATAACTAGTGCCTATCACCCACCCCCCAAA